CTCTTGTTAAAACAGCGACAGAAAGGCAATACCTTCATTTGTTGAGATATGTATGGTATATGCCAGATCTAAGAGTTGGCTTAGTTGTTAAACGAGTCTACTTCACGTTGACAGATTCTGTTGCTTGAATTAAGAGCTGCTTCAACTTTTAGCTCCAGCTACAAAAATGAATAACCAATAGCAGCAATTCTAGATCCACCCATTAAGCACAGGGAGCAAGTGGTTTAAAGGAAAATGAAATAGAACCATTACTAGGATTTTAAGATTCTAACGCATTCAATTATTCGTATTGATGTTAAAGAATCTCGGCCTATTCATGGATTACCAGAAAATGAAATTTGCTTGATGGCATAACCAATTGAAAGAAGTCCTCCAGATCTGTTATGTCAAAAACAAAAAGGGGATATTATCTAAAACTTATCATGACTTTTTCACATTTCTCTTAAATTCACCATGACTGTTTATGGATTAACAGTAATTCACATTTCTGTTGGATTTCCATTATGTCATTGTTAGTGATTATTAACAGAAGTCAACAGAAGCATTTAAATATTTTATATGACCAAAATACCCCTGAATGGTCAATCAAGCTTATTAAAATATATATTTTAAATATGTGCCGGTTGGGCCTGGTGTGGCCCAGGCCTGGGTTAGGGGTAAGTTTGCCATAAAAATATTTAATAAGGACGAATGACCATTCAGGGGAAGTTTGGTCATGTAAAATACTTAAATGCTTATGTGGACAACTTTTATTAATGATCACTAGCTGGAATCTAGCAGAATGTAAGTTTTGGACAATCACTCTCAATGACAGGGTCTCTCTAGAGGTTTTGAAAAGCCATGGTGAGTTTAAGATAAATATGAAAAGTCCTGATGAGTTCTGGATAATATCTCCCAAAAAAAATCCATATGCCATAAAGAAGAAAAAAAAAAACTTGACACATAAGATGAAAGTTTAGAGTTCAGACAAAACTTTGTTCTTGTTGTGACTATGTATTTATGGAAAGAAACTTGAAAAAGAATTACAATTTATATTAGAAAAAGTGTTCACATATGCTCTTCCTTTCAACCCCCGATCAACTCAGACATGCCAGTAAAGGAAACAAAATTCAGAACATCTTGCAATCCTTTTTATTAATTTCCTTTACTAGCTTGCCCTGTTTAACTGGAGAAGTGAACTGCCATTTGGAGACAAATTAAAAAGGAGAACCATGGGACAAGAAAATAGTATCCTCAAACCAAGTCAGTAGATTGATCCAAGGCAGGCTGACAATGAAAGCCATTTCCCTCACAGTCGAGATCAATATCAACAATCCCAAAAAGGAGAAATCTGCACCAGCAATAGYAGTAGGTCTGCATTTGGAGACAAGTTAAAAAGGAGMACCATGAGACAAGAAAATAGTATCCTCAAACCAAGTCAGTAGATTGATCCAAGGCAGGCTGACAATGAAAGCCATTTCCCTCACAGTCGAGATCAATATCAACAATCCCAAAAAGGAGAAATCTGCACCAGCAATAGYAGTAGGTCTGCATTTGGAGACAAGTTAAAAAGGAGAACCATGAGACAAGAAAATAGTATCCTCAAACCAAGTCAGTATATTGATCCAAGGCAGGCTGACAATGAAAGCCATTTCCCTCACAGTCGAGATCAATATCAACAGTCCCAAAAAGTATAAACCTGTGCACCAGAAATACCAAAATTAAAGTTATCCATGTCAAAGATACTCTCCCTATTGGGTCCAAAGGTAGAAATTTTATCCGCCGTTGGTTTTAACTTTGAAGCAGATTGGCACATCAGAACCATCAAAATCTGTTCTTCCTTTTACATGATTCCTCTTGCCTGGCCTCTTCGGATTTGTTCTCATAGCAAGGAACCAAGGATTATGAAATGTAAAGGTTCCTATCCATTGAGTAGGCTATATTTTTGGAAGGGCTAACTTTAACTGTTCCAGACGAAACCATAAAGCATGTTGTCAGTGGAATTAGGAAGGTTAAAACTTTCCAATGGAATAACAGTTTTATGACTTTTATCACTGTGAGAGGACAGAGGTTGAGGAGGTGTGTTAAGACAATCCGATCGACTTGATTCTGCTCGAACAAGCTTTTTGCAACAGGGGGAAACAATGAACCATATCTGTTGGCCATTAGAAAACAAAAAAAAATGCAAAATAACATCATGAACAGAAAGCAACCATCCGTTTGGCTGCTTCACTGTGAATTCTATTTATCCGCATTTACCCATTAAATCAAAAGTTTCGAGCACCCATGTCCTTGCTGAATACATACGACATGATATATTCAAGCTATATTTTCTGGGAAGGGAAAAAGGGCCAGAAATCCAACTGAAATATTTCAGCTGTTACTTGTGAGGTAAAACTTTTTAGACTCAAATACTCCAATAATTATTTGGATAAAATACTTAAACATAATACCCTGAAAATTGACTTAGGTATACCTTGGGTTTTTTCAAGAGTACTTAAACATATCTTATGACTCTTTTGCCCTTTATTTCCTTTCAAATTTTCAAAAAGAACAAAACAAAAATCAAACCCATATGTACAATACTCTATTTTGCTTGCTAAACCAAAAGAGCAAAAAGAATCTCACAAAGGATACTTAAACATGACAATATAGGGTTTGGTCAAAATACAACTGTTAATTGGCAAATCAAAGTGAAACAGCTGTAGCCTCTTCTTGGTTAGGTACGGCTGAGTTTGGAAGGAGTAATGTATTTACGCTGCACATATTTGCATTTGTACTCTTTCCAAACTGAGCCTAGGAACGTCTTTGATCTACCCAAGGTTCAATCTTCCCATCCCAAATCAATTGAACATAAAAAGCTGAGCCTTTACCTCCAATATTCTTTTCTTCTTTGGCCAATAACAATGAGCGAAGGTTTTTGTGATCTTCAATTCTTGTATATTGTTTGCTCTTGAGTGTAGATTAAAATCATGAATTATACAACTCACCCACTCAGGCAATCAAACAAGGTACTAAAGTATTCCAATTCATACTTATTTTTTCTTATTTATTGTGATTTTTTGTTATATTATTTTTTATTATTGATGTAGAGATATTACTTTTCTAATAATTTTTAGCTTGAAGTCTGTGATTCAAGAAAGAGGCTTTCACCCAAAAACTATTTGAGTTATGAGTAGTACTACGATACTTTATTCATGTCATGTCTAATCTAAAACTACAATTTCAGAATTTCAAAGCAAGTCTTGTCTATTAAGGAGTATAGGAGGGTAAAATAGGATTTTAAAATTTTTTATGAGCACATGTGACGTCGCGGCAAATTTAAGTCCAGTGGGATCAGTTCATAATGTATATTTAATTCTTAGAGAATGTTTAAGTCTGTTGAAGTCTTTTATTCTAATTATTTCTGTCCCCATAAAAAACTTTTTCCACACCTGTTAAGGTCCATTTGGTTCACTGGAATAGGGTTTGGAATTAGAATTGGAATGATCCATTTTGATCCTAGCTGTTTGGTTGGAGTCGGGTAAAAAGGGATGCAATCAAGTTGAGCCAAGCCAAACTTTGGCATGTCTTGACTTGATTTGACTAAAATATTACTAGGTTCAAGTCCAAGCTGGAGTTCAATTCAAACTATATTTTTTGGCTCAAGCTTAGTTTGATTAAATATTCAATAAGCTCAAGTTTGACTTGAAAGCTCAAAAATAAATATTTTTGTATATTATATATAATTTTTTTATAATATATAGTATATTCTTATATCATATAGAATATAAAAATATATTTTATAATATATGTATGCATGTATTTATGTATGTATGTGTTAATCGAGTCAAGCTTGCAAGCTTTCAAGTAAAACTTTTTTATTAGTTGAGCTCGAGTTCAAATAATTAATCAATCTTACCCCAAGGTTCAAACTCGAATTGAGCCTAATCAAATTCGAACCTCAACTATTCGATTAGAGTTCAACTTGATTGCAACCATAGGTTGACTTGGATTTCAATTCCCACTCATGATGGACATTCTCCCATTTGAGGGAATTGCCATTCCAACCTCCCCCCGTTGGTAATGTGAATTTCATTCCAACCAACCAGCAAAAAAATGACAAATGACTTAAAACCACCAGAAATCCTATTTCTCTTTACCCAATGCCAACCCTCGCTGGGAGTCGTGCATATTTTATGAAATTTGATTCTGCTTCCTATTCAAACCAAATAAGAGAGAACAGGCGATTCTGATTTAATGAAATTTTGAGTCCAATTCCAACACAAACCAAACAAACCGTTGTTTTGATGTAAATAACAACGAAAAACATGGTTAAGGTAGAGAACAAATGCATAGTTATCTTTTTAAAAAAAATGGCAAAGATATATAGTCTGAAAATTTTCCTTCCACTTTATGCTGAAAAAAATGGGGTCCAAATAATCAAACAAAATTTTCCTATCCTTCCCAATGGGGCAGGTTTCTTTGTTTGAAGAATAAGTTTTAGGGTAGGGACGGGTTTTGGGATTCTATAGCTTGTAAAGGCTACAGATAAGTTATGGTATTAGACTAAATTAGACCCTCCATGACCCACATGTAGTTGGAAAGCATATAAACTTTATGTATTAGGTTTTGAATTTAATAATACTTTGAATTTTATATAAAGAATAATTAATAATTTATATATTTTTTATATACCTTAATCAAATAATTAAAAATTTTATTATTTATTTATATTATTTTACTTATTTATTACTTATATATAACAAAAAATAATAAAAAAAATAAATGCAAATACATTTTCATATAGCGAGAGGATTTGAACTTACAAAACCCGCCCCGTTGCCATTTCCTACCGATATCCTCATTTCATAATATTTAGTTTTTCAGAATGTGACACAGTATAAAAACCCTTCAGTGGTTGTGATGAAGGTAAAACATTAGTAAATAGTAAAAGCTGAGCAGATAGAGTAACAGGTCAACAAAAGGTAAGCAAAATAAACTTATAGACCTACTTGTGATTATTTTCCTGGTTCTTGTAAATTGTAATGCATTTCAAAAATTGTTTTTTTTTTTCTTTCTCCCGGTCCCGGCACTTCAAAATTCTGAACTTTGGCCATTATCCGAAAAGTCGGGTCCAATTATGTCCATCAGTTGTTCGTTTTAATCTGACTGCAACCAATTCATCTGCTCTTCTTTTAAGTTTTCGTGGTACTCTTGAGTCTTGACAGCTGAAGATGAAGCAAGGGCTTCTGCTATGGAGTCCTTGCCATCCCTTTCGCTCTTTGTGTTCCTTCCCCTCCCTGTCGTTTTCTCCTCCCTCCGTTCGCATTCAGATAAGAAAATGTTGTGCTGTGGTATCCGCAAATCTCGAGTCCGGTAACGGTGGACAGTTGACGGCGAGAGAGAGGAGGCAATTGAGGAACGAGCGGAGACAGAGCAAATCCACCAATTGGAGAGAAGAGGTTGAGGAGAGGCTGTTGAAGAAGCCCAAGAAGAGGTACGCTTCTTGGACCGAAGAGCTCAACCTCGACAACCTCGCTCTCTTGGGTCCTCAATGGTGGGTTGTTCGGGTTTCCAGGGTTACTGGTCAGGAGACTGCGGAAAGACTAGCTCGCTCCCTCGCCAGAAATTTTCCGGACATTGATTTCAAGGTAATTTAGCTTTTAATCTCTTCTCAGTTCTCATGGTCTTGGAGATCTTAAATTTTAGATCCTTTTTTTATTGGTTTTGACGCGAATTCTTTTGACAATGGTATGCGTGTGTGTATGTTGGTATTCATTATCAATTTTCAGCTAGGATTTGTTAAACTTGTGCTTATAAGCCTCTTGGTTGATGCGGATTGCATCATGGTTTTGCTTGTCGGAACTAGCTTTCTAATATCAACCTCAAATCAAGCGATTTATGTTGTCAGATTTAGCTGCAATTGCAATTACATAGATAGCTTCGCCATCTTCTCTTCCTAATCAGTAATTCTATTCATGGTTGTTTAGTTGGACCTTTCTTCTTAAAGCTTTCCTATCTGTTCATTTCCTCATCTTGGTTTTGTTCTTGGGAATTGCTTCTATATATTACTTGGTAGAAAACTATGATATTTAAACCTAAGTGACTATACTATAAGCATTTTTATGATTGATAGTATGCTTGTTTATGCTCAATGCACTTCAGAAGGTGAAGGATTGATTATTGGGAAATTTCTTGTATGCGTAGCAAAAGGTTCTTACCAAATCCTTTGCTGTCTCTTTTTAGGTATATGCTCCTTCAGTTAAGGTGAAAAGGAAGTTAAAGAATGGCTCCTACTCGGTCAAGCCAAAGCCCCTCTTTCCCGGTTGTGTCTTCTTAAGATGTGTACTGAACAAGGAGATACATGATTTCATCAGAGAGTGTGATGGAGTTGGTGGCTTTGTTGGATCAAAAGTTGGTAATACGTAAGGAACCACTGATTTTGCAACCTGAAAAATAGTGTTTGCTTTAAATTATCTCATAGTCTAACCATTAAGTTTTCGTTCTTATTGATCAAAAAAAAAAAAGTTTTCGTTCTAATAGATGTACTGCACTTACTTGACATTGAACTCTTACATTTAAAACAAAAAGAAAGAGTTTCTGCGCTTTGTGAGGCATTAAAAGTTAAAACCCTGAAACTCATCTTAAAAGTTATTGGAAATGAGAAAAGACATTAACTTTTCCCTTCTTCTGAACTGAAGATTAATGGCATAACCAAATCTCTTGGGAAAGGAGCAAATCAACAATAGGAATCTATTCAATTTGAAATGTATCTCGATGAGTTAGCATGGTGAAGATTTTATTTCATCATTTTACCATTTCTTGAAGTCCCTGCTAATCTCATTTTCATGTGCATTTTATATAATGGATATTTATTGCTCTAATGCGAGACCTTTTTTTATTGATAATGTGAAACCATTCTTCAAAACACAGAAAACGGCAGATCAATAGGCCCAAGCCAGTGTCAATGGATGACATGGAAGCAATCTTCCAACAAGCAAAAGAAGAGCAGGAAAAGACTGATCAAGCATTTGAAGAAGAACAACAAGGAGGAGTCTTCAATGAGGGAGATCTAAATATTCTCTCTCATTCAAATGGCAAAGATGCTATAGGATCCATGGAAGGTGTGAAGCCTAAAAGGCGGACAAAGAAAAGTTCAGAGCCTATTGCAAGTAGCTCATTGACAGTAGATAATGATAAGTTGATTACACCAGGTTCTCGTGTTCAAGTAGTGTCTGGGCCTTTTGCAGAGTTTACTGGAAGCCTTAAAATTTTGGACAGCGAAACAGGAAAGGTATGCCTTATTACATACTAAGGTCTTGTAATGAAGGGCTACTTTGAGAAAATGTTATTGCAAATTATATCTAAAATGATCTGCAGGTGCTTTAATAAACTTAACAACTTATGGTGTTATAATATTATCTTTTCAAGAGCCTGAGATTAAGAATGATGCATCATTGTATACTTGCAGGCAACTGTTGGGTTCATGCTGTTTGGAAAAGAAAGCTTGGTAGAATTAGATGTCAATCAGATTGTTGTAGCACAGACAACATAATGACAGAGTTTTTATGCCCCAAATATAATAATAAAATGGTGAGTTGCTCATTCCAGAAAATCCAATTCTTTCTTTTTCACAATACGTTCCAAAACATATGAGCCATTGAATGTATAGTGAATTATTATAAATCAATCAAAAATAAATGCATGCAAACCAAGTTACTATTGTTAGCAAAAAGACATCACTATGAATGTAGGACTCCATGCTCCATTTGGAATGTGGGAAATTTCACAATGAACAATTGAACACTTGTTTGTGAAAGACTCAAGCATACAATACAGAAAAGGAAAGTGGTAATGTTCTTTTCTCTTTTTTCTTCCTTTCATTTTTTGATAGGTTAGCCAGGAGGTTTCAGAAGCGGTTAGGCATTTATAGACTGATATTATCATCTGACAAATTCAAACTAGCATTTACTAACTTTTAAAACCTAATTAACAAGCTTAAACTCTTTCAAGAGTTATGAAATTTGAACCTTCAACCTGAATTTGATGTGACAAACTAGGTAAATATTGTTTAGATGCAAGAAGCTTCATCTGTTTATTTTGTTGAAATTGGTTATTACAGTTGGTGCAGACATTAGCCACTCAGTTGATATTAGAGAGCTAATAGTGAGACCTAAAATAGCAAATGGTATGGCCAGCTTGCCACATTTACCTATTCGACTTTGACTTCATGGAATTCAAGGAGGTCCAGGTCTGAGGGCCTTCTGTAGTACTTGAGCAAGAGTGAAGAACAGACAACACTTACTGAAGAAGCACCCATGGCAGCACCAGCAATCCATGGTGGCACACGGAATCCAGTAAAAGGGAAGAATGCCCCAGCAGCTAGGGGTATTGCCATGACATTGTAAGCCAGAGCCCACACATAGTTCAATTTGATCCTGTTGAATGTTTTTCTAGAAAGGTCAATAGCAGTAATCACACCTTCAAGGCTGCTTCTCATCAAAACAACATTAGCAGCCTCAATAGCAATGTCGGAACCTGCTCCAATAGCCACTCCTACATCTGCAACAGCCAATGCTGGCGAGTCATTGATCCCATCCCCCACCATTGCCACTATGAACCCTTCCTTCTACAAGAAAAGTAATTGGGAAACAAGTAAGGAGCAAAGTTGAAATGAAAACATCATATGTACTAACTATAGAGCGTTGCCATATAGATTGAGTTGGATGAATCATAAAATGGATGAGAGGTTTGTGCCACCATGCTGTAGGGACTATTTAGATGATCGTTTTTATTCCAAAGTAGTTTCATAATAAGATGGTTCATCAACATTTTTTTATTATAGATTGATTATATTTCTTGACTGATCAAATCAAACTATACTTGGCTTCCTATTGGTTCCTTATTCATGCATGTTGATCCCCTAGGTGGACCCGAAGAATGATCAGTCGTTCCACTTAGGGGGCATTTTTTTTTGAGATTTTGAGAGGGGGGAAAGTTGGTCAATAGGATTTTGGTTCCCATTGACCAAGATCCCCATGTTCTTTTTTCAGATTTATGTGGAGACCAGGGAAAGTTTACCCCACCCCCTAGGTGGGTAAATAACTTTCCCACCTAGAGGGAAAATTGCCAACACTTAAATGGGACAAAAATGCCCCTTTTAATATTTTAATAATGGATTACCATTGGGAAGCTAATCACGTTGTTGGAAAAACAACTCAAGACCCTTTTCCCAAAAAGGATTTACGTCCTTCCCTAGGCCCAAGCTGTTTTCAGTTTTCTTGGTGCTTTTCTATTATTTTTGTAGGTACAGAGATTATTAATAATCCCTTGAGATCTCATTAAGTCTTAAATCTAACCATAAATAAGGATTGATTGGTTTCAGCTCACCCTTAATTAGTGGGCATTCAGAGGATCAAGACCTAACATATATCAGAGATCAATTGACTCAAAATCAGTACATATAGCTGATCTCTAGTTTTTGGGTTTTGAAGAAAATAAAAGAGCTCATATCCAATGGTTTTGACTCAATATCATCTGATCATGCTGGTTTTTTGTCTTAAAAATCCTTGGCAACATAAATTCATATGCCAGTTCTGACCCATTGTGCATGAGACATGAATTCAAGTCTGTGTTTTCTTCCCATTAATCCGGGTTTTGTGCTTAATGATGGGTCTTCTATATAGTTTAAGTACTCAGCCTTGCCTAACATGCCAAGTATAAAATATTAGTATCTTCAAGACCAAGTTCAGTTTCTTCTCTGAGAAATCAAATATATTGTTTAATCAACCCAAGACTAGCTTAGATGATCTCCCCCATCTGTACAAAGAATCTAATGTCGACATGTCTTGCATGGAAGATTGAATATGAACGATCAGAGTAGTAAGAGGAGAAGAATGAAGGAAAGATTAGTTAAACACTCGGGTAAATGCACTTACCCGAGTAAATGTTTCCCAGCAAAAATTACCCAGGTAATTGCATTTACCTGGGTAAATAACTTAGTGAAAAGTTTTAACTTAGTTAAAACATCCACTGAAATTAGCCTTACCTGCAATTCTCCAACTTTCCTAGCTTTATCTTCGGGTTTTGCTTCAGCTACAACAAAATCAGTCTTCACCTCTTTAGCTACTGCATTTGCTGTCACCATGCTGTCTCCAGTGACCATCAGACTTTTCAAACCCATCCTCCTTAAGATGGAAATGATTCCAGACGCCTCCGGCTTCACTGGATCTGAGACTGCAATAACTCCCACAACATCTTTGTCGACAGATACGAGGACTGCAGTCTGGCCCAGTTTTTGAGATTCATCCATGTAATTGGAAGCTTCTCTTGGAATTTCGATGTTGCACTGTTGCATGAGACTATTGTTTCCAATGACAATACTTTTTTTGCAGACCATGGCCTTTACTCCATGACCCGTAATAGCCTCAAAGTCATGAGCCTCAGGCCAAAACTGGGTTTCTACAAGGGTCTTTGCATGCTCTACCATAGCCTTCCCTAGTGGGTGCTCACTGTTAACCTGTACCAGTAAAGTTTGAAAGGAATCATGTGCCTTAGATGCATACTGTCGTGGGTTTAGAATACAAGAATCTAATATTTACCTCTGTTGCAGCCACCAACTTATAAAAATCAGGAAGAGATATATCCATAAGCAGCTTTGTACCCACGACTGTTGGCTTTCCCATGGTTAATGTTCCTGTCTTGTCAAACACCACGCAATTGACCTGATAACAAACAATCTTTCTTTAAACAAATAAGAATGACTGTTTTCATTGAGAAATGCAGCTTTTGCCTTCCTAAGCATCAATTGGATGGGGGTTTGCTGCTGCTTGAATAAATTACTTCTCCACTAAGTTGCATTATCATTAAGACCTCACCACTAATCCCTACTTTTCTTTTGGGTAACCATAGGGAATAAAATACTCAAAGCTGAATGCCACCATTATTAGGTCTCTCTCTTCTCATCTCATTTAATGTATGAGATGTCACATTAACATACAGTTTGAATAGTCAGTTCAAGACCAAAAATGGTTAATAGAGATATGGAGGTGAATGGGTGTGCAGAGCACATGAAATTGCTGTCTTTATGAGGACGCACAGAAATTTTATGAGAGAGAATAGAGGAGGGGTGGAGTTGAGTACCTTGTGTGCGCTCTCCAGCGCTTGTCCACTCTTGAGAAGCACGCCATGAGAGGCACCAACGCCAGTTCCTACCATAACTGCCGTGGGCGTAGCCAACCCCAAGGCACACGGACAGGCTACCACCACAACTGAAATTCCAAACTGTAGGGCCATTTCAAACCTGTCCATGTAACCTGGCACCCAATTTCTTGGATACATTTCCAATATCCCAGCCACATACCAGCCCAACCAAGTTGCTATACCGCTACATATCACCTGCACAACATTAACCAATAACATGCATTTCCATCATCACCCCACAGGCCAGCCTTCTAGAAAAATATGTTGGTTCCACAGAAGCAGAGAAATTGGATACAAGATTTGGTGAACCTAACTGAGCTGGAACCTTAGGCACACAAAGACGCAAGGAAAGAATTCACTTTTGATACAACATGGTATTGGTGCAAGGCCAAAACTGTGAATCATAAGCCTTCGATGGATCATAGCAATACATCGAATGCTTTGATTTCAATTTCATGGATAAAAATGGGCCTATTAATAATGAGTTCAGACCTCATTGAAAACACCTTTCGTGTTTACATGTTCCCAATATATAGCTGTAGTGTCCTGTGGGTAGGTGTGTGTAGTAGGATTCTCGTGGGTAGGAGATCGAGATTCCTTAGTAAGTTATTAGCATTCCATATGTTTCTGTTCAAATGATTTATGATTGTGAAATGATAAGAAATAGGAATAAAATGTGAATCATGGGATCAACTATGATCGCACTTTCTACAAAGTGGATCCGACCATGAACCCCACATTCCACAATTGAGAGAGGCGATGATGATTAAAGGTAGCAAAAGCTGTTCATTCCTTGGCAGTAATTCTATCCCATTAAAAAGAGCATGCTGGTCTTTTCTCCTTTTTAAATAGAATAAGATCCCACAATACCCAGATTTAGAATTCCAACCCAACACATTGAGCTAACTCTAGCCTGAACTTCACTCACCTAAACGAGTTTGGATTACCTGCCAATAAAATACGTTTTAACACCCTCCCAATATCATCTGATACTACACATTTTATACATGGTGGGTCTCAGTGTCATCATAAGCTGTGTGATGTCAGATCATGTTGGAAGAGTGTTGGAATATGTTTTGCTGGCAGGAGATCCCCAACTCCTCGACACCACTGCTCCCTAAAGCTACCTAATTATTTTAGGATAAATAACTTAAATCACCCATGTAGTTTCTAGCAATTGTTTTAACCTACCCTGAAATTTGAATAGAAACCACCCTCCACATTTAGGATAAATTATACAAATTGACATCTTCCATAATTCCATTAGTTTGAGTAAACAAATGAGTGTTAAATTATAAAGTTACCATCATATCTCCATTGAATAATTTTATTATTATTATTATTATTATTTGTTGTTGTTGTTAACACCCTACGTCAACCATCCACATGAAGTGAGAGATTCAGTGAATGTGGGAACTGAACCGAATCAACCTATTGACCGGTTTTGTATCTTTGTTTTTTTTTATATATTTATAAATAAATATATAAACATATGATATATTATATATTATTTATATAATTGGTTTTTCCAATTCAGTTTGAATTTTGATTTTTCTGGTTTTTATGAGCATCCCTAGGACATATACACTTTGCAAAACCAGTTTTGCTATAAACGTGATTTTAACTCACCACAAAATCAAATCCGATGACATGTTGTGTCCGCACCTTGAATTAGATGAAGTGACATTATGGTGGGATTACAATTTAGTCCTCTGCTAAAATCATGTTGTAGCAGAGTGCTAGAGTCCCAGTCACCTGCCAATAAAATGCATTTTATTACCCTAGCAATAACATCTAACATTGCACATCTTATACATGGCAGGTTCCACTCTTATGGTGGACCCCAATTTTATAGCGAGATGTACCATATCAGATCAAGTTAGTAGGGGTGTTGGAACTTGTTTTGTTGGAAGGTGATGTTGGCAGCTATAAAGTAATTTTTACACTTTTTGGCTAATGTGGGGCATTGTTACAGGTAAAGCAATAAATGCATGAGACTAATCCATAATTTTCTCAATGTTTCAATATTCTTAACCCTAAGCTAAATTCAATTTTTTTTTTTTCACTCAAAAGTATGACATCATATTTTTCCCTTGACATCCAAACATCAAACTAACAACAGAAGAGATGAGGTTCGAAATGTGGAGGGAGAATGAAGGTTTTTGAAGAGGATAAAGTTCAAGAGAGATTAAATCACTTATTAGAAACCGTAGGGGAGGTTTTGCCCATTATTTTATCATGCCAATAGAAGATTCTTTTATTTTTTTTTCCTTTCCCCACACAATATTGAATATCGAATACTCAATCGTTCATTTCACGAAAAATTGACCACAACCAGTGTGCAAGCAAACACTATCTAGTCATCGATCTGAAGTCACTGATTTTGACTCGCACTATGTTATTTTTTTGTTGTTTTGCATTAGCCCGTTTGGGAGGAGGACTTTTGCGTTGATTGAGCCGCTTCTGAAAAAGCTACTTAAAATAACATAGCTTTACAGAGGAGTTGATTTTATGGCTCATGTAGTTCAATTTTAGGCTTTTCGATTCTTTTTATGAAAATATGGTTTCGCTGCTTTTGAATTGCTCAGCTCATGTAACGCCAAAAGCCGTTGCGTGAAAGCCCTTTCAAACGAGACCGGAACTGTTCCTCACCGAAAACGCCTCACACACGCCTTACAAGTACATCCTACCATGCATTGAGAGCATCTTCCGTACTTTTAAGTTATTAATTACGGGAGATGTTCCCAATGCACGGTGGATGTGCACGTGAGGCGCCCTAGTGTGAAGAGCAGATCCCGTCTCCTCTCAAACGGACACTATATATTACTGTACTACGTTTGTAACTCACCACTGGTACGAAATACTTCGAGATACGATCGGCCAGTTTTTGCACCGGCGCCTTTCCAATCTGAGCCCCTTCAACGAGCTGGATGATACGTGCCAACACAGTCTCCGACCCAATGCAAGTCACTCGCACATGCAGCACTCCGGAACCGTTCATCGTACCCCCGATTACCTCATCGCCGACCCTCTTCCGGACCCTCCTCGATTCTCCGGTGACCATACTTTCATCGACGTGGCTCTCTCCCATCACTACTGTCCCATCCACGCTAACCTTCTCACCGGGCAAGACCTTCACCACGTCTCCCTTCTCCACTAATCGCCGATCAATCGTCTCCTCCCCAATTACTCTCCCGCTGTCGTCGAAAACCGCCAACCTCGCCATCTCCGGCGTGAGCTTCACGAGCTTCGAAATTGCATCACTCGTCTTTCCCTTTGCCAGTGCCACCAAATACTTGCCGAGGAGGATTAACGAGATTAACATCGTCGCTGTTTCGAAGAAATCCTCGTTATCGAAACGCTTTGAGGTAGAGGATCGTACAATTACGTAGATGGAGTAGAAATACGAAGTGTTGGTACCCACTGCAACCAAACAGTCCATGTTGGTAGAACGTAGCTTCACAGCCTTGTATGCTCCGACGTAAAATCGCCAGCCGATGATAAATTGCACTGGGGTGGACAATGCACACCTCAAGACCTCTCCAACCGAGAGCATGTTAACTACCTTTTTGTCGAGGAATCCAGCTTTAAAGGATGGAATGTACATGAACACCATGGACAACAACAGCATTGGGATGGCGAAAACCAGACTCCAGAGGAAGCTACGGTAGTAGCTCCTCACATCGCTGTTCTTCAGTCGAGCTTCTTTCTCTCTCTCGTCGACGAGCGATGCTTTGAGTCCGCTGGATTCCACTGCCGAGATTATCTTTCTGGGACCTATGACATCAGGTGAGTAAGAAATAACCAAGGTGGTTTTGTCAGATTGGTCTATTTCTATGTCTTGGATTCCTTGTAACTTTCCAAGAATGGTTTGGAGAAGCTCTTTTTCAACCGGGCTTTCCAGTTTGAGGTGGAAGTTGGTGGTGTTTTCGCCGGTGGAGATAATTGAGGCTTCAAAACCCATGTCGTCGATGGCTTGGATTAGTTGGTTGAGGGCAACCATGTTGGCGTCGTACTCGATTTCGGCCACTTGGGTTGCTAAGCCAACGGCAGCGAATCGGACTCCGTTGATGTTCCGGAGGGAGGATTCGATGGTGGTGGAGCACGCAGTGCATGTCATTCCCTGAATGTGGACACGGCAGGATCGGACGTCGGAGGACTTATCCATGGCTTGCCTAGCTAGAGCTTTGATTCTTAATAATCAGCCGGAATTCGACCCCTCTAGCTTTAGTCTTTCCCTTCCCTCGAGGCACCAGTCAGTATCTGAATTAGCGATGCAACTGCGCTAAACTTGGATACTACTAACACACTTTAGTGAAAGCAACAGCGAACAAATAAAAAAGGCGCACTCCAATAACCTCCATGGTTGGCATTTGGCAAGCTAGCACCCAGTTAAGTTCTGTTATTTATGGGCATCTCCACATCACGAAGATCTTCTATTTATTCCATTCCTAGAGTCGGTTAATTATATATAATAGTTAAAAAGAAAACCAGAATGGAGATGATGACATGCGCCCAGTAACTGAGCTTTATCGGCGGATCTATATGCCATCAGAATTCAGAAAAAGATGAGAAAGTAATGCAGAGATTGGAAAGGATCGAGGAGCAAAGATGGACGGATTAAGGACTAGTTTCACCCAACCCATGCCCCCCCTCCCCCAAGGTTCGGTCGTATTTCATAGTGGCCATTTATTTTGGCTCTTTCTGTTCTCCCCATTTTAGTTCCTTAGTGCTTAGTCCCATAGAGACTATAGACCACACTTTTTTTCTGGTATTGATTTCTTAACACTTTAATTTAATTATTTAAGGGTGCTGCTGCTAATGGGTTGGAGTTGGACCATACCCATTGGCAGAAAATAGCGAGTAATAATAATGTAGGGACAGAGACGATTTGGTTGATGACATGGCAATTGATAGCAATACAATGGTGGAATTGCATTGGCGCAGTACGGTTGGGCCCTAATAGTCCTAGCCACTTCGAAGGGTTATTGGCTTTGTCCTGTGTATCGACGACCGCAGACTAATCTATGCTGCTGAGAAACTAGAGAACCAAATCTCTCTTCTCTGTTGATCACGAGACAGAAAAATCCCCTCGACCATCGACTAAAATAACAGATTCATTAGCTTTATGGTAGTCTTTGGTTTACCCTTAACAAGAAGCAAAATTTTGATTGATCCACTAAGCAGATTAAATGATTCTTAAAATAACTCCTCCACTTCAATTTGCTTTAGTGAATATAATATATTATTTTCCACCGAAATTGCCATATAGAAAATCCTGTGGAATAGGCTTAGAGGGATAAAAGTTCCTCCCTGCCTGGGTCTTTTGTGTCATTAAAGGCTTTCTTATCAACATCACGGGAGTGGTCGATCCTGTAGACCATAGATTAAAGTGGGCATACGTCTTCTGAGTTATCCTTAAAAAAGTGGGCATACGTCTTAAGGTTGAGTCTCAAGTATTTATCAGAAAGTCAATTTTATGAGGAATATTGGGATGCACTTTTTTTTGGTACACAAGGAGAAAAGCACCAATACAATCTTGGGGTAGTGTGACACTCTGAACCCCTTCTAAATCATCTAATCTAATCCTTTCACATGCACCTCTGAATGAATTCCTGGTAAGATCAGATAAATGATTGGCCTCTCTATACACATGTCTTGTGTATATTCTCCTTCCCTTGTCTTCAAGCACCTTCTTAATATCTAGGATGATAGTGTTTTGTGTGTCACGAGGAGTCAATGTTGCCGAAGATGCTTTCCACTCTCATCTTGGAGTCTTCCTCTAGATCAATATCAATTTACAATAAAATACAATCACAACATACAAGGAGCATTTTCCCTTTGCCGTAAGGCATGATTTTCCTCTACCCTAAGTTTAAGGTTTAAAGTATTAGAAACGCAAAGAGTATCAGAAAGTCAATGTTAAGAGGCATACAGTGATATATTAAGGATAATATATCAAGAAGATAAAATATGCATGGATAATATAGGCAAACATATCAAGGCACTCTGATTTACTCTTAGGAAAGTGGGCAGACATCTTAGTATACTCAGTGAACAATAAAATTCAATCACAAGTTACAAGGAGTATTTCCCCTATGTCGTAAGGCATGTTACTCCTCTCTCGTAACGTTATGTTAAATGGGCATTTTCAAATTCTTTTGACACTTGTCTCTTGAAATACTCTCAAGTTATCCTTAAAAAACATTAAACACAATTTTTAACAATTGTCAAAATATTTATAAACTGCTCACTGGATGTACTTCCTTAAGTTGTGCCTACTGAATGAATCCAGTCCCAATAAAACTAAATAACCGAGAGAATGGTCATTGAATTAGATCCACAGCAGGTGATTAATATTTTGAAGGGGTCCAGAGTGATGTTCCTTGGTCTTTCTCTCATGATCTTGGATGAAATCCATTTATGTAAAAAGTATTTTAAGCAATTAATATTTTGTTTTGTAAATAGGCAAGGTAGCTAATGGAGCAGCACGCTTGGTTGCTCATAAGTTAAAAAACATATATAGGAAGCAGACTAGTCTGGATCACCTGCCAATAGAATACATTTCAATAGCCTATCAACATCATCTCACACCGCATACTTCATACATGGCAGGTCCCACTTTTATGGTAGGTCCCAGTTTCATGGTGAGATGTATAGTGTTAGATCAAATTGATAGGGGGTTGGAACATGTTTTATTGACAAAAAATCCCAACTCAATGCAGACTCGGTTGTCTTTACTTAAACCTCGAGACTGGTTAAATAAGACTCAATGTTTAAAAATATGGTATACAAGATTTTGCATTGAATATATTTATATTTTCACTTTTTCCAAACTGAATCAATCATAATAATTTATTGAATTACCAAAAAAAAGCAATTATATAATTACATAAAACATGGCGTTTCATGGTGTGGTGGTGGGTTTAGAGAATTTAGTGAGAGTAAATGATACATGAAACTCCATTCCACCCGGGATACTTTAATTCCTGGTGCAGTTTTTGTCAAGATGCACAATGGATTAAGTCTGGGACACATTCCCACATAAATACAGCAACTAGTCTGTACTTAAGGCACCTTCCTTCGATAGGTAACCAATCCAGAGTGGCTTAATCAATCACCTGGCCAGCCCAGAAATTTGTGGGCCTGATGCAGTCCCAGGTCCAGGCTATGCATGAACACAAACCTGGCCCAAGTCTGGAACTTCCAGGATATGTATAATATTAGTACAAATTTATATATGCCTTTTTAGTTTATATTGTATGTTTTATATATATCAGCATCTGCGAATTTATATTTTATATTATATAATGTATAAAATAAATTTCAAATGCATATTATATATATTTAATGTATTTATAGATAAAAATTATAGGCCTAGAATCAGGCATGGGCCCAGAGTATAGCCCTTACGACAGGTGTAAAGCCTAGTCCATGATCACCCCTAATTGCTACCATAACTCCCCGTATTCTCTATATTCTACAAGGATTTAATTATGATACCAGAAAAACTTGCATTCAATCAACCGGTATCATAAAAGAGGTGATCAATCAGATGGTTTCCATCAAAACTCACAAGGTGCTTCGATTGGTCAAAGCTCTTCTAATACCATGTCTTTCCAGTACTATAGATTTTTCCATTCTAAAATCATGCATCACACTCCAACTTTCCCAATCACCTCTTGGAATAACCCAGTTCAAGTTAGGTAGTTGAAACACTCCATAAAGCATAATCAACTTCTCTAAATTATTCCCACAAACTCTGTATTTATATTCATAACAAATTTTGTTACTGAGAGAGCAAAGAAGAAATACATTAAATCATCTGCACCAAATCAATTGAGTATTGACAATGGATCATGGAAATGAAAAAAGAGAGACATCACAGGAGAAAGTGATACAAATATCACTGCATCAGAATAAAATTATAGCAAATGGTAATGCAAGATCACTTTGCCATGAGTCGTAGCCAAATTGAAATATGAGGGAACTAAAGAAGTGGAGTACTTGTCAGTTTCCATTCCAGGAATTAACATAAGTTTCTTTCCAGTCTCTAGTGAATTAAGAAATCTCCCCAGTGCGCTATGATTCGACAATGATCCACATCTTCTTTTACTAAAAAGAAAGTATTGCTTGCTCGTTTAGGAACAATCAATCTCATGGTTATCGGCATGTAATGGCACTTTATTATTATTTGTGCAATCGGCCAATCAGAGAGAAATCCTTCCCAGATGGAATCCTTTTATCCTGCCCATGGTCGTCAGTACTTGTAGTAGTGGAAGGGGATTTATGGGATGATGATTCAGAATCGATTGATTATATATATATATATATATATATATATATCTTCGTACATCATCTTGTGGCTGTGTGGATTTGTTATTTTGAATTAATGTTGTTTTCCAATCCTTTTCATCTAATCTAGCTAGAGAAGATTTCAAACATGGAACCCCCACACAACATGAGAAACAAAGATAAGAAGGTTTCTCCTAATAGAATGTTAAATGTACATGCTTTTATGCTTCAATGGAAAGCATTCAAAGGGTATATATAATTCATACACGAGATGTCAATATTAACGTCCAAACTTTTCAAAGGGGAATTTTGTTAATTATGATTTTTTTTCTTTTTGTTTTTAAAAATTAAAGTGCCACAGAAAACCATATTCTTTCTTGATGATGCACGAACTCGCTGAGTCCCCTGCTGGTTTTGACAGCTCGGGTGAAGATTGATGAGGTCGGCAAGCTGGTTCTACAAAGTAAGAATACATTAGAGGGTCCGGCAAGGGAGCTCCGGCAGTCCAGTTAGCACCACTCTAGTAAGCAGAGATTCAGAGTAGAGAGTGAGAGCAAGAGTGTGAGCATACCATTAGAGGGCGAGGAATCGCCCTTACATAGAATGTGGAGTCCGGTCAAAGCGCATCTGGCGTATTCTCGGAGGTGACAGATTTTATCCGTCTCATACTTGTGGGATACTCTTGCACAGTGTCATTAGAGGAGGCAATTGGGCGAGTTGGGTTCGGTTCGGTTTGGGTTGAGTTTCAACCCAATTCATCTAATTCGCCAACCTATTAATGACCCAAGTAGATAGAATTAAATGGGTTGGGTTCAACTCAAACCTACCTGAACCCAATCCAACCCATTTAGATAAAATAATGAAAATTACACAAAAATAATAAAAATTGCAGGAAATAAAATAGAAATTAAACAAAAACACAAAAATGCATAAAATTAATAGAAAATACATAAAATTTTGAAAAACAGAAAATTACAAAAAAAAAACTGAAATTACATAATTATATAATAAAAATTATAGAAAAACATAGAAAATGAAGAAAATAACAGAAATTACAAAAAACAAAGAAAAAACTAGAAATTGCAGAAAAAAAAAACAGAAATTCGAGAATGATATAAAAAATCATAGAAGAACATAAAGAGTGAAGAAATATAATGGAAATTGCAGACAATATAAATAGCTACTAGAAAAATTACAAAAATTTGTAGAAAAACCACCATTGAGCAAAATGCCTCTCATTGTATAAAAGGATACTTGTGGTTTAGATATCTAGCAAATAATAACAGTAGCCCCATTGCACACACACCTTAATACTATTGATTCTACATTCCAATGAACCTCTTCCCTCAAAAAAAAAAAAAAA